GGGTTATTTCCACTTACTTTAAAATTACAATTTCCATTTATTTTAAAAGTTAAACAATGCGTCTTCCACTTTTATTTCAGACTTTGTGTCTATTATCAGCATTTTCACATAATTCATATAATCATTTAACTTTTTTTTTTTTTTTTCTGTCTTTCAGCTGTTATTGAAAGGGCTGCATGAAGCTTAAGTCTTGTCCAACTAAGTTTGACAGATGTTTCTCTGACAAATTATCTTTTTCACAACCAATGACTTTATGACCGTATGTAAAAAAGTTTATCCAGATCTCTTTTCACCTATAAGCAAATAATAGGATTAATGTCTTAAAGTTAGATGTCTGGTCTATGTCTGTCTAGACCCCTTCAAAGTCAGTGGAAATAGGTACCTTCAGAGGGTGTGTCATCCTATTTTCATAGAATCATGGAAGCATTTAAGTTTTAAAAGACCTTTATACTCAAGTCCAGGCATTAACCTAACAATGCCAAGTCCAGCAGTAAACCATGTCCTTAAGCACCACATCTACAGGGATGGTGAATCAACCACTTCCCTGGGCAGCCGCTTCCAATGCTTGACAACCCTTTCAGTGAAGAAAGTTTTCCTAATATCCAATCTAAACCTCCCCTGTCACGACTTAAGGCCATTTCCACTTGTCTTATCATTTGTTACTTGGGAGAAAAGACTGACACCCACCTCACTACAACCTCCTGCCAGGTAGTTGTAGAAAGCAGTAAGGTCTTCCTTCAGCCTCCTTTCTTCAGGCTAAACAACCCCAGGTCCTTCCTCTGCTCCTCATGAGACTTGTGCTCTAGACCCTTCACCAGCTTCATTGCTCTTCTCTGGACTTACTCCAGCCCCTCAATGTCTTTCTTACAGTGAGGGCCCCAAAACTGAACACAGTATTCGAGGTGCACCCTCACCAGTGCCAAGTACAAGGGGATAATTGCTTCCCTAGTCTTGCTGGCCACACTATTTCTGATACAAGCCAGGATGCTGTTGGCCTTCTTGGCTACCTGAGCACACTGCTGGCTCATATTCAGCTGGCTGTCAACCAATACCCCCAGGTCCTTTTCTGCCAGTCAGCTTTCCAGCCACTCTTCCCCAAGCCTGTAGCATTGTATGGGGTTGTTGTGATCCAAGTGCAGGACCCAGCACTTACCCTTGTTGACCCTCATACAATTGGCCTTGGCCCATCAATCCAGCCTGTCCACATCCCTCTGTGGAGGATTCCTTCTCTCAGGCAGATCAACACCCCCACCCAACTTGGTGCTGTCTGCAAACTTACTGAGGGTGCACTCCATCTCCTCTTCCAGATCACAGATAAAGAAATTAAACAGAACTGGCCCCAGTACTGAGCCCTGGAGAACACCACTTGTGACCAGCCACTAACTGGATTTAACTCCATTCACCACCACTCTCTGGTCCCAACCATCCAGTCAGTTTTTACCCAGTGAAGAGTATGCCCATCCAAGCAATGAGCAGCCAGTTTCTCCAGGAGAATGCTGGGGGAAACAGTGTCAAAGGCTTTACTAAATTCTAGGTAGACAACATCTACAGCCTGTTCCTTATCCACTCAGACAGTCAAAATATACCTATTTTGAGATGGTATGAATAGCCCTTTAAAGGTGTTTATTCCTCTTTGGTGACTGGGGAGGGAGTTAAAAATATATGAGTCAACCTCACTCCCAAATACTTCAACATATAAAATGATGCTGTTGCCCATACATCTGAAAATGACACTGAGCTATACTTTGTATAAGATAAAGATCATACTGAATAGTTATGTTTTATTAACACATAAAAGTAAACCATGATTTTTAGTAGGTTAATAGCACTAGGAAAAAACATAGTGTATGTGACAATAATAAATAATGTATACCTCATATAAATAATTCCATATGTGTGTTGACAGTGTTAGTAATTTGTAGTATTCCAAAATTATCTACTTCTTTTTCAGTACTAGTGAACTGTAAGCTTTTAGTTCAGGACCATTCCATGACCTGTGAGCAAACATATGAAAGAACTGCATGCATACATACACACATGCATGTCTGCACACACATATGGTTTTCTTAATTAACAACATGTTGGAAAGACTAATTCTTAGCATGTTGTATACCCAGAGCATTGAAAGTAAATGTTTCTAATTAGGAAAACTTACTTGTAGATGATGGTGATGAAAGGAATTTTCTAATGAATTATGGAAGAAAGAGAGTACTCAGTGCAAATATAGCAAAGAAAACATCCTTGTATATAAATCATGTAGAAATAGTAGATAATACGGCAAAGCAGTAATATTTTGATCTTTAAGAGCCCAAAAGTTATGCTGGATATATGCTTATTTCAGGGAATTGTATAATTGGAATTGTGCAGAAGATTTAAAATATCATCAGGATCTGGCTTTTCTGATAGCTAACAAGCAGATTAGTGGAAATACTTATCAAGAAAAAAAATCTCTATCAGATGCTTAAAAGACAGGTTGCACTGGGAAAAAAAAACATCAAACAGGCAAAGAAAAAAATATGTTCCTTAACTGGAATGGTTGAACAAATCTGTATTGAAGAGTTGTCAGATATAATAATAGAGAAAATAAATTACTACATAATTATCGACAGGACAGCAGTAAGCAGTAACCCTGTTTTTGGTTTTAATGTCAGTTCATAATGAAGTTTAGGGTCTAATGCTCTTTTAACATAATAAAGTAAAAAGTGGAAATGTATGGTATTTGCAAATAAGCACACCTCAGTTACTGTGGGACAACCAAATGAAGTGTTGTCTATTTAAAGCCCTGAAGTGAGTATAACTAGAAAATTTACATGAGTTATTTTAAGAATTAAGGACTGTCTCAGTGAGACAGATGACTCACTGGGCATTAACGGGAAGGGGAATTTTTAATGAAAAATGAACGTATGGGAAATCAAGATTATAAAAATAGATTTATATATACGAGTGTGCCTGTATGTATGCACATTAGACTTTATACAAATTTTAAATAATTTATAAATATTTTACTCATAGACTCAAAAAATAAATAAAAAACCCACACTGCACTGAGATTAATATATAAAATTTAAATCTCAAAAGTACAAACTCAGGTTTCTTACAGAAGAATCCTATTCTGTTCATGATAAAGCCAGGTGTGACCAGACATTTAGGTGATATAGACCTCTAGGTGAGCTTATGAAAGTAGAGTTTGGGACACAAAATTATCACCTCATTTTCACCATCCCTTCCAAATTAACAACACAAGAAGGTTTTTCTCCTTCACCGCCTCCCCCCTCCCCCACTCCACCCTGGAAATTTGTGGTGAAGGTACAAATATCCTTCAACATTTCTGAGTTTCTAAAGTGGATATATAATAACTGGAAAAGTAATTGGTAACTATTACTTTCACAGAAGCAATATTGAACCTCTGTAAATCAGTGCTTCTAGGTATGCTATTAAACTGGGATACCAGCGTGACAAGATGCTTGTCTCTTCTTCAGAGTCATGATGAGTATATTCCATAATTTTAAAAGGATATTGCTAAATTACCTGTTGTCTACAAGCCTGTATCTGAACATTTTTGTATTCTGTGAAAAATAGTTACTTCTTAGTAGCTTGTTCAAATTATCTTTAAAAGTGTTCTCCATGTTTTTGTTCAAATGAATCTGGAAAACAGTAACTCAGGTGGACAAATGGTAAGTTTCCTGTGTGCTTTCCTTAGGACTGGAAATGTAAGCCAGGCAGTTGAATAAAATCTGTCTGTGGGATATATGGCACATATGAGACATATGAAGGTTTGAAAGGCTGTACATATGCGAAGGCTTGTCACTAAAATCATTAACCTTGGAGAAGTGTGACAAAAGAAACAAAAATTACTAGAGGACTGTGGTGGATTTGGGAATTTTTCTGACACTCAGTGGTGTGACTGGGTGAGTGTCCTTGACTGTCTGTGTTGAGTCTAATTTGACCTTGCTGAGGAGATAATTTTTTTGTTTTCCCTTGCCTTTTCTTATGATGTTTCCAGAAGGATTTTGTGTCAATTTAAGAAACACATTTTACTAGTTGGGGTACTCAGTGCTCAATTGGTAACCAGCTTACTACATTTACATTTAATAATCAGTCAACACTACATAGTGAATGAGAGATTGAATAACTGAAGATTTTTTATACTATAGAATAGTCGTCTTAGAACAGCGGCTATGATTTTCACATCAAATTTTGCTTAAGTGAAAACACATCAATTTCAGTATGATAGTGGCATTCTGAATTTTGTTTTACCATTTGGCAGAAAAGTTTTAGTTAAGTCCACAGCTTTGTCTTTTGCATAAAGACATTTTGCAAACATTGAAGGATTTCTTGGTTTTAAACCAGCATTTTTTCATGTATATATATCACAATGCTGTTGTAAAATTTTAAACCCCTTCCTAAAATGTTTGACTGCTGTATTTTTACCCTCAGTATATTAGAGAACATTTTTTTCCTGAGAAATATCAAACAAAATACTTTAAAATAAATGAGTAAGAATGAAAATAGTGCCATCTGCTTGCTCAGCTTGAAACACATTGCTACTTAGCCTAGCCAGTAGTATACTCATGATTTTACAGTGGCTAATTTATTTACTCTTTGCAATAAATTTGTAGGAAAAGCTCCCATAGTATCTCCTAAATGAGTTACAATTACTGAAAACAAATGCAATAAGAAAGATTGAAATAGATTCTGGATGGACAATGGATTTACAGAAGCAAAAAATGGATTTACGGAAGCAAAAAATGCAAAAAATGGCTATGCTTTGTGCCAAAATTCAGATAGTTCCTAGAGTGGTACTTTTATTTCATAGAATGTCTTAAATTGGCATGGCTGTTAAGTAAAGATTATTCTTTCCAACCTGTTTTAACTCATCACATGTGAAAGAACACCTAACAAAGGCTACCAAAACAATGCGCTTTTTTTTTTTTTTAATTTTAAGCTGGTGCTTCAAGTGGGGTAGTAGATAACTCATTGTTGGATTCCATCTGTTGCAGTTGGACATCTGCAGGCTGTAATCTCTGGCTTTGATGGGCATTGTTTTTCAAACTGTCATAGAGCCCTGAAGACATCATGTTGGCTTCTTTTGAACAAGAGACCAGCTGCAGAATTCTTCTGTTGTTCCACCTCACCATTACACTGAAACAGAGAACCAAATCAAGGTAAAAAGCGTCATTGTGGTAGCTAGAAATCAGACACACAATAAAAAGTGTACATTCTACCCAGAAGTACTCACAGTCTGGCCTTTGACAAGGTTGAACAGGTAGATGAGCCAGGTGGAGTGGGTTGGAGGGAGAGACAAAAGCTGAAGTGAAACAGGAAAGTTATGGTATACTAAGCAGCTTCGTAGCACAGTTTTTTGTAGACAATGCTAACAGGGGTGCTTTAAAGCATGGCAGCAATCCTAGCTCTTAGATGAAATCTATCTTTAGGGGTGATATGAGAGACAGTATGAGGAATTTAAGAGGAATTCTGTTTGGTGAGTGATGAAGATCATTTGCACTGTGAAAAGCTGGGAAAACCCAATTAAAGATTCATTTTACAGAAATCCTACTGTTAAAACAAGAGTGGCCAAGAAACTAAAGAGAGGGCAACCATGCTTGTGAAATGACAGTTTTTAAATAACAAAACTAAAAGAATACTGAATATCTTAAACTGGCATTTCAGCATGTTCAATTTAAGTTTACTGCTGAGAGGGTAGACAAGTGGTCTAAGGAATTTTAATATTTAAGAATAGTGGGAAAGGTTAGACTGTAAAGAAAGCTGAAGTCTCTAGGGCATGCCTCTATGAAAGAGAACCTGAATGTGACCCTTGTATCATAGCTTTTTATAGACATAGGTGGCAGGACTGTTCTCTGGGGCCAGAGCATTTTGGTGGTTGTGTCTTTTCCTCTAAGAACGCAACCTGTGCAGCGAAAGAGCTCCCAAACTGAAATGCTAAGTTTTGTTAGGACACAGATTAGAACAGTGACCTAACTGAGTAGTTTTACTGAGTAGACAGAACAAAAGTTAAGGACACTGAAAACAATGCCCACCATGTGTTCACTGTGCCCTTTTCTTCAGTCTTACTAACATCAGCAGTTTTCATGGTTTTCTGGGCTGCCATAAACCCTCTCATTTTTTTGATACCTGTTCTGTGACATTCATTCTCCTAGTGTAATGCTGTTCATATCTGGGGATCACATCAAGAACTCTTTTTTGTTTGTATTCTTGGTTATCTTCCAAAATATCATTTTTGTTTAGAGATTTGTTTTGTTTTGTTTTTTCCTGAGGATACTTCAAACCAGTTGAAATAAGCATTATAGCTATATGACCAGATATGCTTTTTGCAAATGGACGAATAGGGAAAACATGTCTCTCATCACATACTGAGAGTCTGATAATGAAGAAAGTTATCAAATTCCCACTGGTTGCTTAAATTTCCAGTTTCTAGAAAGAGAGATGCTTGGTCTCAGAAGCTCAAAAAATGTATGACTCAGAAATATTTGTTTGTTATTTGGTGCTGTTTCTAACATGGGAAAATAAATCCAAATTACTCAGTTAATTAAGAAAAGTTTATGGTTGTTCAATATCAAAAGTCACAACCAGCTGAGTAATTTCACTCCCATGATTAAGAGAGTTAATAAAATCCATTCCTGACTCAGATCAATTTGCTGGAAAAAGTTTCAGAATAACAAAGAGGGCCAGATTTTCAAAAGTGGGCTGCAGTCTTTGGTATCTTCTGTGCTGATTGTCTAAACTCAAAAACATTCCTTTTTCTTTTTATTGCCTCTTATTTTTTTTTTTTTTTTTACATTAAACTTCTCCCTGCCTCAATCTGTGAAATCTTATTGGAAGTGCTTCCACACTTCATTATAGCTCTTCATCAACTGGATGACTTCAACTGTTGTCTAGAGATGATGGAAGATCTTTTCTGATCTGAAATATGCACTTTTCTAAAATTTAATTTTCTAGAATTACACAGTACTTTTTAGACTGAAAATTTAGTAGTAAAATGCTGGGATTACCACACCACTATTCCTAATAAGTCAGAGATGAAAAAACTGTCAGAAAAATTGCAAGTGTTTTACATGCAGATGGAAGCGATGTTAAAGAGTTTTTGAAAGTTAAATAGATTTCTGCTTTCCTTTTATATATTCTTTTCTATATATACACAGAAACAACAGTTTCTTAACCTAATGTTAATTTTGGATGTAACAGAAATACAATTTTATTTTTATGTTACCATGACCATTTTCCAACTGAATTGAGAAGAAAATTTTTCCACTTGATGCATGCAGTATTCCTATTTTAATGTTTTCACCAACGTAGTTGATAAACATTTTAGGATGAGTCCATGAAATGTTTCAAGGTTTTGATGTCACATCATTTCAACTGAGATAGTCAGGTCTCCAAAAAGATTAATTCCTTAATATATTGTAATCTGTTATAACTGGTACTGGTTTTAAAAGACATTGTTAACCTACCGAGATGAAAACAAGAAGCCTTACTGTAAGGGTTATTAGTCTTTAAGTTTCTAACTTTAAAGGAACATTCTACTCTTCTGATAATAGCTGCATTAAGATACAGATTTTTCCATTGCTTTTCTGCCTTTCAGTAACAAGCAGGTTGAATTTTTCCTGTGATGCTACACAATCAGTTCTACACAATGCTACTCAATCAATTCTACTTATCAATCAAAAGGAGAACATTTCTGTTTTACAGTCTTAACTATATTTTAATACTTTTCCTGTAGCTTTCTTGTAAAATACTCATTATAAACTCTGACCTATAAAATAGTATTACTTTTATTCATACTCTTCCAGTGTTTTTTCAGATTCTTTTATTTTCCAATATTACTTGCACGTTGAAAGAAAAACCTATTCCTATAAATGTGCTTAGAAAGAATATGCTAAAAAAAATATTTCTACTTTGTATACACATGAAAAAATAGAATAATTTTCCCTCAGGGCTAATACACACAATTTACATACATACCTACATATATATTCAAATATACCATGTTAGGATATTTTGGTTTAGAAAATTGTAACTTTGAATTCAGCTTATGTTCAGGTGTGACTGAAAACAATTGCAGAGGACAAACTGTGTAATAGTGATTGGTACTTTTAATAGAAGTCAGTCTTTAATAACTCAGCAGGCTACATGTGTTATCAATGCCACATCTGCAATGCAATGCTTTCCTTGCTCGTTAACTCACGCATCACACCTCACTTAGTAGCTGCACCCATTTTAAGAATAATAGTTCATACTAACAGGGTCCTGAACAGCCTCATCTATGTCTCTGCTTTCAGTAGAGGGTAGGACAAAATGGTCCCCAGAGGTCACTTTCAGTGGAGACTTTTCTGTGATTCTATACTGTCCTTTAATTAAGTTCAACCAACAGAAATGCAGCAGTGCAGTACATGTCTGTGCTGGAAACTATTTTCAAATGACTAGAAGGGTCTTTGTTAAGGACATATCCCACAACTGACAAAACATCCATATCTTCACTTTACAGCAATTTCTTCAAACTCAAAACTGCACAACATTTGACTTAAAAATATTTGGGAAACATTTTTTTTTTCCCGCCCATGATTATCTCTCACTAGATAACATAGATAACATTTGCATTGACAGGAACTTTTTGTGTGGTGAAGTATATTCACAAATGAAAAGTTTCTGCCTCAATAGAAAATGTACTTCTTTCTGTTTATTTTAATAATCTATTTTAATTTTGTGAAAAAAGATCCCAGATATTTTATTATTAGCCAAAGTGAACTCCATCTCTTCTTCAACATTTTTTTTCCACCACTAGACCAATTTCAGAAGATTCTCTAAAATGCTTACAGAAATCAAACTCCACCAGCCAATTATTGTGGATGAAAATTGGCTTCTGAAGTTTTCAAAGTCTGCCAGTTTATCATTAATTCAAAGTGTATAAATCCATTTAATTTATCTGAAAGCTATCCCATGATCTAGCAAAGCACCTGAGGCTACAGTCAATAAGAATCAGGCACTTGAAGGATAATTTAGCTAAAACTAAGCTAGCAAAGCTTGTAATCTAAAACAAATAAATAAATAAATAAATTCCTTCTTTTACTGCTCCTGGTTTGATATTAACTATCTCTAGGATCAATGCATTCTTAAGCAAAGACCGGGAATTAGTCCAGCCTAAATATCTCCCAACCTGTCTTCCATCTGTGCCTGAGATGCACTAAAGAACTGAGTTTTTTTCTGTGTAATACCCCATACCTAACTGAAATATGCAACCTAAATCAGCTGGTAGCATTGGGTATGTAGGACAAATGCTGGTCTGAGAAGAGACAAGATTTTAATGACTAACACTTTTTTTTTTTTTTTTAATAGTGAAATCCTGATGTTTGGTACCCTGTGTATCTCTGCTCCCTCTCGTATAGCTATGGTATATTTCCAGGCTCTGCTCCCAGGACTCCTTCTGTATTTTCCCACTGAAAGTTAAGCTTTAAATTTACAAGTGCTTTTTTGAGCAATGCTTGGAAGCCAGGTTTCTCCCCGTTAGTGCTCTAATGACTAAATAGTATAAACTCGGACTCCTCTTTCCCCTTCTGAAGTGGGAACTTCCAGGAATAAGTTCACATAACTCTTTCCACTTAGTGAAGCTCTCTATCACTAGCTATTTCCCTTATTACATTTTGTAGAAGTGATTGGTGATGGTTTATACATACTTGCATATGTCAAAGGCACCATGTCCATTTCAGTGCTATTAGGTCATGAAATTCTAGTCATGCAGTTTATAGTCAAGTCATTGGAGAAAGATTACCTTCAATAAATGTGAGAACAAGATATGACTTTCTAATATTATAGGAAATTCTATTTCTATCTATTCCTATTTCTTGCCTCTTATCATTTCTAAGATAGAAAATTAAAACTAAATTCTGCTGGGTATGTACAAAGATTTTGAAATGCAGCTATCAGGCTACAGTCAATCTCTTGCTGTGGAGAAGATCAAGAATGGTCTAAAGGAAAAGACAGAAAAAGGCTGCAGAGGCTAGTGACTTGCATGAATTCATAAATGAAGCATTGTGAGCCCTTAAGTATATATCCAGAGTGACAACCTTGCAGGACTCACTTTTTAGGAAGAAGAGCATCATTTCCTCCTAGTAGGCTGATTCTTGCAGCCAATCAGAAAATATTCTGGGTGCCCTCTGATAGATGTCACAGAATACAGAGGATATTTCAGGCAGCACTGATTTACTTGAGAGTTTTACCAAACTTTAGCCTAGTTGTGTTTGATGAAGACTGCAAGATCTTTATTTCCTGGCTTCCCCCATGTCCTATTTCAGTTGCATGTTTTCTGACATACTGCTGTTTTGCTAGAACATCAGTGCACAGAAGACTGGGTTGAATATATGTCACAGATACCATTTCTCACTAATATGTCCTCACATAGCCTCAAAAACAATTATTTTCCACCCTTCTACACAGTGGTGTGATACTGAAAGGCAAGATTTGGTATAGATACTTGGTCCTTTGTTTTAAGACATTTCTTTACATCATTACATACAAAATGCGTAGGAATCTAGAGAGCAGCATTTAAAAATTATTCACATACATTCACAACACACATCACACATACATCACACATCACCTGACTGACCTGAGGTGCACTCATGCCAACATCATCTCCACTTGATTTGGGGTTCTAGTACAATTTTGATAGATTTCTCAATGCTGATGGCTGCATTTTGTGGCCAAAGCTATTAGACTAATTTGAGAAAGATGCATGTATTGCCAGTATATCTTTAGAGTACAGATAAATAATAAAATATTTTTATAAAAACATAAGTCTATAGTTTTGGGCCCATAGTAAATATTTTTGAAAGCAAACTATACAGCTTTAAATTAATCAGAACCCTTTCTCCTCAGATGTAACAAACTCCTGTTTCAGATTAAATTACATAGCTCACACGCTGCAGAGTTTAATCACAGATAAATGTAAGTTTCTATATATAGCTAGATTATTTTCTGCCAAGGTTCTTCTTTTCAAGTTTTCACAGAAAACCACAAATCAAAATACAAATCCAGGGTATTAATTATTACTTCTGATTCCCACAGTGCCAATTAATGTCAAGTCACTCACCACTCAATAAAATCAGAGATTCTGAGAGAAGTCCTTGGCATTAGTAAGAGCTCAGAAGCCATTATTTGCTTCAGATACTTTAAAGTAATCTCGATTAGTGCTTAGGGAGCAATGTGCTATTGCTCTGAGATTAATGTTGATGTAGTTTTAAAAAGAAAATAAACATGGCTGTCTTATCTCATATGAAGCTATTCAAAGGGATTATTCTGTGGTCCTGATGTTAATTACAACTAATAAGTTTGTTTATGAAATGAACTTGATGTAGCACTATATAAGATGCACAGGGACAATGCAACATGCTTTAATACTTATGAGAGAATGCCTTAATGCTTATGAGAGAACAAAAATTGTGCCATATATGCTTTTAATAATTTATTGCAGATTGATACATAAAATGACAAGAACAAATTTTAAGAACCAGAACATCAGCTGATAAAAATTGGGGACATAGGTTTGATAAGAGCTGTGAAGTTGTACAGTTAGTAAAGGATCAGCTTGAAACCAGAGAGGAAGAAACACAGAAGGAAAAGACACAGGAAATGAAATTGTGCTGTATGAAAACTGTAAATAGTAAAATAAGACTCCTTCCCTTTTTTATATACACAATACATAGAATGTGTCCTTCCCTTTAAAACTGTTATCACATTTTTTATGGCAAATTAAATGATTAAACTTTCAGATATTGATAGCAGGGCAACTGAACTGGACCAGTACCTGTAAAATTAAAGGCAATTTTTACATGTATGTGATGGTTTACTGTCATGGGGGAAGATGGGGAGAGAGGAAGGATAAATTGCTGTTTTGTTGTGCTGCTTCTAGACCTCATGAGTTTGCTGAAGAAAGTCCTGGTTCCCTCCTGGCACCTGTATACCCATTTCTTTCACTGGGATTGGATGGCTTCCAGAGAGATTCCTTCATAGCTGCTGAAAGAAGCTTCAATTTCAGGATGTGACAGGGATGGTAAGCACTTGGGTCTCTTGAAAGCAGCATGGGCTTGTAGGTTCTGAGTGTAGATATAGCCTGGATCAGATTCACAGCCCTTGATAAACATGTAGCAGTTATTGGAGGCTCTGGAACAGATTTTCTATCCCCAGGAACACAACTAATGGGATTTCCTGAAGCATGCCAGATACCAAAATGTACACTTAAAGCTGTCTAATTTCTAGAGAAAATGGTAACGCCTTGCCTAGCCTTGCTCCTAGATACCTGTCCAGTACAAGATATCTAGTAGTAACTTCTCTCTCCAGTAATTAACTCCTCTGTTGGATGTGACAAGGAATGTATAGGTCTCCTAATCAAGGTTAGCATGTGGTTTGCCTCCTTTGGAAACCCATTTGCTCTATCCTCCTTACTGCTATCACGGTCTCACCTCTCCAGTCCCTGTCTGTGGACTGTACTAATACAATGGTGTTTAGGGGATGGTCCACTCATGCTCTTTGCTTGCAAAGTTGCCTCTAAGGTCAGCTCTCCATTAGACTTTTCACCCCATTTTCCTATTATATGGCACATGAGAATCCTAGTCTGTCAATTAGACAGTCATAAATCAGCAAGATTGTGACCAGTGGATTTCCACTCAGTGAAGTGATTGAAGGAAGATAAGGGCTTACCTGTATGCCTTGACTTGAATCATTCTGTTGTTCACTGAAAAATCTCTCTAATCTGTGCTCCATGTTTTTATTTTATTCATCCTACAACTTAGAAACTATATTGTCTCTTCACTGACCAACTTAATTTATCTGCAAAACATGTTCTACCTACTCTTGTTTGCAGTTGGGGTGTCCTACATATAAACTTGATCAAGTCACAGTGAATCTGACTGTCTCGATATTTTCAGTTTGCAGTCATTTTGTTTTGCCCTTGGTGAAGCTTTGTGCTAATGTTTAAAGCTATATATCTTCCGTTGTGGGTAATTTCCTTCATCCGAGCTAACAAAAAAATCCTGCAATAATTACAGTATTCATAAGAACATTGCTTAATATTCATATACTTGTTAGTCACTGTTTGTAAATCAGAACATAAAATCTTATTTTCTCCTAATTTTCCTGTGAATTGCCAAAGCTATTTTGCTTGCCAAATTACTTTCATTCTTTCCCAGAAAGCCTGTAAAATGATATGGAGGACTATTAATCATCTATACTCTTTACTTTCACTCTAGCTTGTATTGTACTCAGAACAATTTAATCTACTATCCTGTGGTAAAATATTCCAAAGAATGTACCTTTATTACTAAATCTCTTATTTAACCTGTTTTCATATCTCCTTATATACAGGTTATATCACCTCTGTGTTGTGATATCTAGAAGAAATGTCAGAAGTTTAAGCAAAGGAAGAATGTAAAGAAATGTAAAATACAAGATACAGTACAATATGAAATACTGTTCTTCCTCTGCTGCACAGACATATTTTTTTATAGGAATCCATTTTCCTGTAACATCTGCCTTTGCTCCAAAGAGAGAGCAAAAAAAGTTTTAGAACTTAAAGCTGGATAAATATAGTACAACCGGAACTTTTAATTCCAAACGGTTATTATCATTATTATTATTAATTAAAAACAAACAAACAAACAAACAAACAAACAAAAAAAACACACGGAAAAAGAAAGTTATTTAATGTTTAATGAAGATTTTTTTTTTTCCATACTGAATTTCTGTATCCATTGTAGTTCAGGGGAAGCATAAACTACATACAGTAGTTTAAAAAAAGGAAAAAAAACAAATGTTAAATCTGTAGCTGTTTGGTCTGAATTTCTAGAAATTTAATTATGTCCCAGTAGTCATTATACTATTTACTATAGTTGTTTAGCAATCTTAAAGTGTCACAGTTGGAAAAAAATTCCACCAGGAGAAAGAGGAAACTCCCTTGTGCACGCTTGAGTAATGCCTTAGCTGGGTCTGGCAGGTTTGTTTTGGACTAATGGAAAGAGGAAGCCAGGCCATGTCCCAGAGCGCTGGATATGGAGGGATTTTCCATAATCTAATTTCTCCTTTTTTGATAAAAGATATTCAGATATCTTCAAGAGCTAGTCCTTTTACTCTTCTCAAAATACTAATGTTGTGAATGACTTCTCTTAATAAGATTTTTCCAAAATAAAATTTTCCTTTTTTTAAAATGCGTATTTTGGAAATATACTTGGATTTTAATGTACATTCTATTTTCCATTACCTCCTCAATATTTTAATGTAAGAATGTTTCAACATTTCATTTACTGTTTTACTTTATTTTGATTTATATGTTATTTTAATAATTTTTAAATTATTTTATTATGTGGACTTTTACATCTGGTTGCCTCTAGAAGTAGGTTATCTTTTTTGTTATATTAACTTTTTTATTATTTAAGTTCACTTATGACAAGCTGCGTCAAATTTGTTAAGCAGCAAATTCCCTTAGTGATTTAAAAATAAAATCATAACTATTATTTACATTATGCTATGGCTATACGTATTAGTAACAGTTAGTCACTTTTCTGTATTTAATCATGCTGTGCATATACCGATGGTTAGATACAGGTAATATGCAATTAAATACTTACATTCTCTAAACCTAGAAATAAAAGTAATTACAATAAATTGGTGGAGGAAAATTAGTGGCCTAAATTTATCAACAGATGCCCAGAACCTGGAGAGGAATCACAGGTCAACAAGAGAGCACCTTCAGAGCAGCACAAAGGAATTCCAGACAGTAAGTCAGCTTCACCAGGGGCCCTTAAATGCCTCTATGCAAATGCACATAGCATGGAGAATAAACAAGAGTAGCTAGAGACATGCACATGCCTGCAGGGCTACAATCTTATTGGCGTAATGGAGACATGGTAGGATGGCTCCTATGACTGGATTGTTGGCATGGAAGGATACAGGCTCTTTAGGAAGGACATGCAGGGTGTGACAAGGAGGGGGTGTCACCCTCTGTGTCAGTGACAAGCTGGAGTGAATGAATCCCTGCCTGGGGATGGGTGAGGAACTGACTGAGAGCTTGTGGGTCAGGATCAAAGGGAGGGCAGGGACAGGAGACATTATAGTGGGTGTCTACTACAGGCCACCCAACCAGGAAGACCAAGCAGATGAAGCCCTCTACAGACAGATGGGAGCAGCCTCAGATTCACAAGCCCTGGTTCTCATGGGGGACTTCAACCATCCTGATGTCTGTTGGAGGGACAACACAACAGGGCACAAGCAATCCAGGAGGTTCCTGGAATGCATTGATGATAACTTCCTTCTCCAAGTGACAGAGGAAACAATGAGGATATGTGCTGTGCTGGACCTTGTTCTTACCAACAAGGAGGGGATGATGGGGAGTGTGAAGCTAAAGGGCAGCTGCGGCTGTAGTGACCATGAAACGGTGGAGTTCAGGTTCCTTAGTGCATTGAAGAGGGCAAGCAGCAAGCTCACTACCCTGGCCTTCAAAAGAGCAGACTTTGGCCTCTTCAGCAACCTGCTAGGGAATATACCATGAGATAAAACCCTGAAGGGAAGAGGGCCCCAAGAAAGCTGGTTAATGTTCAAGGATCACCTCCTCCAAGCTCAGGAGCGATGCATCCCAACAAAGAGGAAGTCAGGTAAGACTGCCAGGAGGTCTGCATGGATGAACAAGGAGCTTCTGGACAAGCTCAAATATAAAAAGGAAGCCTACAGAGGGTAGAAGCAAGGACAGTGTCGTGGTTTGAACTCCGAGGGCAACTGAGCACCATGCATCCACTCACACATCCCTTCTCTCTCAGCAATGAGAAGGGACAAATAAGCTAGTCTTGGGATTTGAGATAGGACCAGCAGGGACAGATCACCCATTATGGTCATGGGCAAAAGGCAGACTCATTAGGGGAAGAAAAAAAGAACATAGATTTAATACAGACAACAACAACACTTAATAAACAGAATAGGACAGTGAGAAGCATTGCCACATCTTGAGAACACCTTTCCCCCACCCCTCCCTTCTTCCTGGGCTCAGCTCTGCTCCCGATATCTCTACCTCTTCCCCCTAGCAACGCAGAGGCAGGGAATGAGGGATGCAGTCAGTGCTGCTGCTTCTTCCATCTTCAGTGAGGGGAGCTTCTGGAACTTCTCCCCCTGCTACATCCTGGTCCCCCTCTCACAGGAGATAGTCTTCCACAAACTTTCTCTGATGTGAGTCCCTCCCATGGGCCATAGTGTTTCCTTACACTGCTCCAGCGTGGGACACCAACTTTCTCCAACTGGATTCCCTCCCACGGGCTGCAGCCCCTCCCGAGCTGCTCTGGAGTGGGACACCCCCACATGCTGCAATCCTCCCAGTGCTGAATTACAACAGCAGGTCTACCTTTTCCCGCAAAACCCTGGCCTTCTTCGGGTACAGACACCTTGGCTAGCCATGAGAAAACACAGGCCATAAATCAGTGTCTGCTCCACCGTAGATCTTTATGGGTGGTAGGGAGAAGCCGCCCTGCCGTCTCACCACAGGATACAGGGGGGGGTCTCTGCTCCGGCACACCTCCCCCCTCCTTTCTTTCTCCGTTCCTCCACTGACCTTGGTGTTCACGCAGCTGCAGCAACTCCTCCTCACAAGTCCCACTGCCCATCACCACGTCCCTTCTTAAATACATTATCGCAGAGGCACAGCTGATTGGCTCAGTTTTGGTGTAGAAGTGGAACTGACTTGGAGCTGGGGGAGCTTTGAGAAGCTTCTCACAGGGGGCCACCCCTATAGCCTCCTCCCCTGCTACCAAAAACCCCCACCACTCACTCAAAACCAGGATAGACAGGTAGCCTGGGAGGGATACAGAGAAACTTTTTGAGTAACAAGGGGTCAGGTTAAGAAAGCTAAAGCCCTGGCAGAATTAAATCTGGCCAGGGACATCAAAGGAAACAAAATATCTTCTACAGGTATGTTGGTGATAGAAAGAAGACTAGGGAAATGTGGGCCCTCTCTGTAAGGAAATGGGAGACCTGGTTACCCAGGATATGGAGAAGTCTGAGCTACTTAATTACATT